TCGGTCTGGGTGTTTTCTATGTACATTATATCTAAGTATTTATATAAGTTGTCTAGTACACATTACCTTGAGACTAGACGATGTTGTTGAATTGTCGAGGAGTATTATTATTATTAGTTAATACTTAGTTTTAAAAGTAACCTTGTGGATTTTAAAACAATACATTAACCGTTGTAGATTTTGTAAAAATTCGTCTGCGTGGTCTCACATTTTCAAGTCGCCACGTAGCTTCTTTTGTAAGCTGTGTTCAGTTGAAGGGGAAGGTAAGGTAACGCTGATTTTGATTGGTAGTGGGTAAGCGTGCAGTGACACATTCACGCAACTATCTTAAAAAATATCAGCTATAAAAGCCAGCTGTGGTCAACAGCAATAAAGTAGTCCGAAAAAAAATATCTTAAGTTGCAAATACTAAAATATATATCTTATCTTACTAACAATATGCGAAAGTTAGGGAGTATGGATGGATAGATGAATATTTGTTACCTTTTCACGCAAAAACTACTGAACAGATTATGTTAAAACTTTACCGTTATATAGCTTATACATAATATAACCGAATAAGACATGGGCTATATATTTCATGCATGTGAAATTCCGGGTATAGCTAGTATACATACGTGTATAAATTTATAGTTCATACCCACAAAAAGCTGAATAGAGATGACAAACGTTTTTAAAAATAAAATTAAAAGCCATGTTTCGTATCTATTATTAAACTACCTCACTGACACAATATTAACGCACTATCACTGTTACTTGCGTGTGCGCAGTTTCAGCGCCATTAAACAGCAAAACAGGAAGTGGGTCAAATTTAACTTGTGACAAGTAAGATTCGATTACAGGCGTCTGATCAAGTGAAGTTAATTTATGGACTTATAAAACGAATAAAGTATCTTATGATAATACCTATATTAATGTCTGATATTTAAAATACGAAGGTGAGTTTCTCTGTCCCTATTGTAACGGATATATGTATATACATTAAAGTAGATGGAAGCGCGAGGACGAACATATGCTATTTTTTGTCTTAAAAGATCAGACCCAAATCGCGGATATTGATATCTATATTATAGTATAATTACGTAAAGCAAAAACTTTGTACTCCTTTTTACGAAACTTGTGCGGACGGAGGAGTATAAAATTTCGCACACTTGTATTTATATAGAGAAGGAGTGCAGAATGATAATATATATTTTTATTATGCACAAAAAATATATTTAATTAGAAAAAAAACATTACACACCTTACTATGTACGTAGTACACACACGTATTTATCCTTTTGTTCATTGTTAAAGACTATGATTAAATTGAGAATAGATTAGTATTGCAACATGTTAAATTAGTTATGGTCGAATTTTGCCGATCACTAGTAAATATTAATAACTAAATTTATTATCCACAGTTATAAATATATAAAAGAACGGTAATTTTGTGTTGGCATATGGTAGCTACACAATTTAAAAATGCCACAGTGTGTTATATTATAATATATTCACATTCTATTTTTATAAAGAATCCATCTCCAAATATCAAAGTTGTCAATACCAAATATGGATATACGCCTATTCATATTAACTGGAATCAAGTTTTCCATATACATAAAATAACAACTATATGTACCTAATTGTTACTATATTTTGTAATACTAATAGTATAACAAATTAGCGAATGTTTGGTTTAATTTATAACAAGAACAAATATTACTACTTAATTATAATTTTTACTAATTTTAATTGTTTTCTTGGTACCATTACACACCCTAACGGCCCTGAATTTTTTCATAAAGCTACAGTGTAGTACAGAGAATGACTTGGCTTAGGACAAAACCAATATAATAAACAGAACCTACTTCTAAATGGTTGTCTTATATACAGAAACATCAAATTCAGAATTAACGAAGTTATCATATTAAAATAAAATTCACAATGAGTAAAAATAATTTTCAATTGAATGCGATTGAAATTCTTGTGTAAAGTTATATTTTTTTACAGCATATGGGACGCTATCCATGAGCACCCGCGACACCATAGGAATTGTAAGTACATTGTCGGCCTTTTAAAAAGGAATAAGCTCTTTTCTTGAAGGTTTCAATATCGTATCGTTTCGGAAATACCATTGCTGGAAGGTGATTCCACATTTTAGTTGTGCGTGGCAAAAAGTTTCTAGGAAACCACACTGTGGAGGACCACCATTCATCCAGATGATCAAGATGGCATCTTAATTTCCAGCGGGTGGTACAAATAAATTAAAAATTTAAAGTAAAATTTCTATCTAATTTATTCTTTTTTTTCTTGCGTTTTTCACCCACGGCCTGCAATGGGACGACAATAGTTTGTTATGAGTAAACTAATACACGCGACGCGAACCTTACACTCAATTCTAAAACAAACGACTTAACTTTCCAAATATTTGAAATTCTGTTTCAACATATTCTAAAGAATCTATCGAGTTACTACAAACATCATGGTGGATACGTGATCCCTGTTTAAGGTTGATTGTTATAACATATTTGAGTATAGGTATATATATGTATATTATAGGCATTGTGTATAAGTGAAGCCTGGTATAGGCAGAATACATATCTAAATTCTACACATGGCTAAGTAACACATAAATCGTTATAAAACTATCGTCCTTTAAACAGCCTTGATCGTTATCCTATCAAGCTTCACTGATACCCCGCCAGTGTACTATTAGTGCAGGCGGTTAAACATCCATACAAAAAAAATATTTGAATGATGTTCCCACAAACAATTACCAGTTTCTATTGATATTTCACTAGGGGAGAGACGATAAAAAAATTAACATGAAACTTAAGGCGGTCGGGTCTCTTTAAGAGATTGGCTTCAAGTAAAAAAAAGGTTCAGTTAACACTAACCAATTAACCAGGACCTAATTATGGTTCCCAGGTAGAACGGTGTAGTGGTCAACCAAACATAACATATTGCTAGCTATGGAGTTGCTACTAATTACTGATAATTCGCTAGCTCTTGTATATGTAGGTTTATCATTGAATAGAACCAAAAGAATCACATGCAAAATACAAACCACCTCTTGTTATTCTATCACACATCTACACCCGAAGTAACACAGGAACTAAAATCAAATAAATCTTAACAAAACTAACATAATAAACATAACCTGCATTTGTCAAGTCAGTCAAGTGGTTTTCTTAAATACATCAAATTTGATTCAGAATTAACGAACTTATCGCATACAGTATACTTCACAATAAAATAAAATAATTTCCAAGTGAACGCAATTGAAATGTTTGTGTGAAGTTATAAGTAAAATTACTATCTTTTTTCATTATAATTATATTTTTAAGTCATTAAAGTAAAATTAAAACTATATAATTATGGGAATGCTATTTGGGAAGTACGAAGACAATGTAAAATAGTCATCTTTTGACTATCACGACAAGTTTATCATTACACAACAGAAAGGCCATCTCTGTTGCGAGCGCGACTGTTGAATCGGCGTGCATAGAAAGCTATGTAAAGTCATTGACGTATGATGCAGTATACATAACAGTTCTTTTGGATGATAATGGAATAGTCCACCCGCCTGCGCCAACGGTTTACGTTGACGGGGCACCAGTGGAGGATAATAAAATGAGCATGAGGTCAGTTGGTTAGTTAGCCCATCGTGGTAAATTCACCATAATTTATCACAATGGTTTCCAGGAGAAACCACATGGAGGTCAACCTGACATGGTACATTACTAGTAATGGGGTTATCAGTTCATATTACTATTAATTCCCTTCCCCCCAATATATAACAATTTACTAGTATTATATTTTATCTACTAAGACATTTGAAATGGATCGTTTTTATTCGACTCTATTCTAAGAATAACAAAAGCGTTCAGAATAGTTAGGTTTGTAAGAACTAAAAGTCTTACGGATTTTAAAATATATTACCCCGTAAGAAGAACTAAAAAAATATGATAAAATTTCGTATAATAGCTTAATTTAACTCTTAATTTCGTCATAGTATGTTGACTGTTTTTATATGGCAAAATCTCGTACAATTGTACAAGAATGAGGATATTGTTATACAAAAATCTCGTACTTATATGAGGATACTTGTACTGTTTGCATCCCTGGATATCTCAATAGAGAATGAGAGCGCGCTAATTAAATGTACACGAACGCCGCAAAAATGACAGATTCAAAACATTATTTTATAAACTAAAATAACTATACACATACTATTATAATAAAATAAACATATACATACAAAAAATAAACAGCCCAATTGGGAAATACTCTGTGCCTCGTAGGCAAATGATGAGCAATGTCACCGCAATTGATTAAGATAGTAGCGGCAAGTGTTCTCTATCACCCTATTGCATAATACCTCAATGTGTAAAACGTGTTTCCTACATTCTTCACGTAACAATAACTGTTTGAGTTAGAGGATCGGCACAGATGTCAATGTGTCAATCATAGTAAATCGTAAACCTATTTTATAAGTGTTATGTTGTTAAGTACAGGAAGACACCATAATACACTTATACATAGAAACCCCACTGTGGAGGACCGCCATTCATCCAGATGATCAGGATGGCATCTTAATTTCCAGCGGGTGGTACAAATAAATTAAAAATTTAAAGTAAAATTTCTATCTAATTTATTCTTTTTTTTCTTGCGTTTTTCACCCACGGCCTGCAATGGGACGACAATAGTTTGTTATGAGTAAACTAATACACGCGACGCGAACCTTACACTCAATTCTAAAACAAACGACTTAACTTTCCAAATATTTGAAATTCTGTTTCAACATTGTTGTTGACTCGTAAATAAAATAAGAAGTGGACTGTAGGTTATTATATTTAATACGAGGAGTTATAATATTACAAGGAACATTAGCTAATTAATAAGGTACGCGTGCGGTGACGTCGTAGGCGCAAGGCAAAGTGAAAGGTGTCCCGGCCTAGCGGCTGTCAATAGCTCATCTTCGATAGCGCTCGAACATCCTCCTCGGGTTGAAGTATTCAAGAAACAGGAAGAGGGCAGAGGTTGTTGAAAGCCCTCAAAATTGTTCCCTTCTTGGTCTTCAGTTCGGCCACGCGTGCGGCCCCGTCGATGCCAGGGAAAACTTTAGTGATGCGCCCCAGGAGCCATAGTAGCGGCGGTTGTCCTCTATCCTTTACTAGGACGAGTGTTCCAGCAGACAGCTGGCCAGTTGAAGACGTCCACTTGGTTTTCTGTTGGAGTAGAGAAATATACTCGAGGTGAAATCTTTGCCAGAAATGTTGTTTGATGTGCTGCACCCTGTGATAGCGTTCCAGACGCTCAATTTTGATGTCAATTACTTGTGGATGTGGAACCGACATTAGTGGTCGTCCAATTAAAAAATGTGAAGGAGTTAGGGCTGTTAAATCTAAAGGATCAGAGGAAATAGGGGTTAATGGACGTGAGTTTAAAACTGCCTCAATTTGAGTCAAACATGTTGCCATCTCCTCATACGTAAAATGAGCTACTTGCAGTAATCGCCTTAAATGATGTTTGGTGGAACGGACTGCTGCCTCAGCGATACCATTGAAGTGTGGTGAATAGGGAGGAGCGAATGCAAACTCAATACCTTGTTGGGTGACCTCGTATGAAATATCAGATTTCTGTAAAAACGTTTGTAGCTCGTTGCAGGCGCCGACAAAGTTAGTACCGTTGTCAGACAAGATACTTTGAGGTTTACCTCGACGAGCCACAAAACGGTTTAAAGCAGACATATACCCTTCTTTAGATAGGTCTGTAACGAGCTCGATGTGCACGGCTTTGACTGCAAGACACACAAAAATACACAGGTATGACTTTATAAGCTTGCAACCTCGCCCTTTCCGGTCAGCTATAAACACTGGCCCAGCATAGTCGACACTGCAATGTAAAAATGGAAACTCTAATTTTGTTCTTGATGTCGGTAACTGTCCCATAATAGGTTGTATTGTTAAACATTTATTTTTGAAGCATTTTATGCAATTCCTGACTACTACTTTAGAAAGATTTCTGCCTCCTAGAGGCCAATATGTATGTCGAATATTAGCTAAAAGAAGCTGGGGACCAGCATGTAACAATTCTTTATGGTATTTAATAAATATTAATTTAGTGAAATGATGTTTTGCAAATAATAATGTGGGATGTTTTATATTATAGTCGTAGGGAGAATTGTCTAGTCTGCCGCCTACGCGAATAATACCATTATTATCTACGAATAGACTTAGAGATGCAAGTCTATTTTTACGTGGTAATAATTTTTTTGATGAAAGTAAACTAAGTTCTATTGGAAACATATCCTTTTGGGCATGGATTGTAATAAGCTGTAATGAATCAGTAAGTTCTTTACTAGTAAGAAAACCATGCAACTTATTGTTTTTACCTTTTAAATTGTTAGAAAATCTTAGTATATAAGCAACTACTCTATGCAAACGATGAAAATTTGAAAATTTATGAATTAGTGTTTTAAATAATGACTGATTATTATATTGTGATTTTATTAATACATGTGAATGAGGATTTGATGTAAGGTCGAGTGATGTAAAGCGATGCGATGACACTACATCAGGTGGATCCTGTTTCACAGTTTGATTGGGCATTTTTGGCCAATCATTTTTATTTAACAATAAAAACTCTGGCCCTGACCACCATAAAGAACAGTTGCTGATTAGGTCAGCCTTCAGCCCGCGAGAAACAAAATCCGCCGGATTATCCGTGGACGGAACATAACTCCACGTATGCCCTGCTGTACTTTCCTGTATTTCATGTACACGATTGCGTACAAAGGGTTTTAATGTATTAGCTGCCATAGATAACCAACTCAACACTATTGTCGAATCGCACCAGAACCGACAATGACTAATAGGTAAAGTAAGAGAACTCATCACTTTAGTACACAATCTTGTTCCTAAGAGGGCGCCACAGAGCTCAAGACGTGGTATTGTAGTGGGCTTAACCGGTGCCACTCGACTTTTTGACACTAGAAGTTGGACTTTAACTAATCCTTTATTATCTGTAGAACGAATATAAATGCATGCACCATATGCCGCCTCAGACGCGTCTGTAAAAACATGTATTTCGTTACATACATAATTGTCACATAATACCCATCTAGGTATTTTTAAGTTATTTAGACAAGGAAGGGTAGTTATTAAAGAAAGCCAGAGATCTTTTAACTCGTCAGATATAATGTCATCCCAATCATATTTACTAAGCCATAGCTTTTGCATAATTATTTTGGCTTCTACTATACACGGACTGACTAGACCTAACGGATCAAAAATCTGACTAATAATTGACAAGATATTGCGTTTTGTAATTTGTTTGTTTGTATCTATATAGATAGAAAGTACTAACGTATCTGAATCGCATAACCAACGCAAACCTAGCGTTTTACATGAAATAGTACTCTTTTCAAAAAAATCTAGACTGTTTGAAGCCTCTGTAATACCTGAAATTTCAGTTAAGATTTGTAATGAATTAGACTGCCATTTTCGTAGATGAAAATTTGCAGAAGATAAAATAGAAATTACTTCCTTACTCATTTTGACCACCTCAGAAATTGAATTACCACCGCTTAGATAATCGTCGACATAGAAGTCACGTTCAATAGAAGTCTTTACGGTTTCGTTACTTGATTCTGGCGATAAACTAACCAGACATTTCGTGGCTAAGTAAGGGGCAGAAGCTGTGCCATGAGTTAGGGTATTAAGTCTGTATGTTTTTAAGGGTTCATTGGGATTCGATCTAAAAATTATCTGTTGTAAAGAACGGTGGGAGGGAGTGATGTCAATTGCTCTATACATTTTTTCTACGTCGCCAGATATTACATATTTGTGTTGACGGAAACGTAGTAAAATGGAGAACAGATCATTCTGGACAGTAGGCCCCACCATCTGAATATCATTGAATGATATTCCAGATGTGGAAGCAGCAGAGGCATCGAAGACTACCCGGAGCTTAGTTGTAGTACTGGATTCCCTAACCACACCGTGATGCGGCAAAAAATACTCAATCTCGCTACTAGAATGCGGTTTCAATGGTGAAGTAATCTCAGTCATATGTCCCAGGCGCTCGTACTCTGCCATAAACTGAACGTATTTCTCTTTATAGTTAGGATCACGTTGAAAACGACGTTCTAAGGAAAGAAATCGACGTTTAGCCATTTCATAAGAATTACCTAACGTGTTACAGTTGTCTTTCAATGGATAAGTAACCATAAAACGACCGTCTTTGTTTCGAGTGGTATTAGTACGAAAGCTTTCCTCACAGGCTCGTTCTTCTGGAGATAAACTATATTTTAAAGGAACCGAATCCAACTCCCAGAATTTATTTAAATTTAAGTTTAATTCATTAGTTTGTAGATTACAATAATGCGATTGTTTTGTTGAGAAGGACTTTGATGAAACAATCACAGGACCGGTAACTATCCAACCGAATTTAGATGCATATAATGTAGGTTGGTTTTTACCGAGTTTAATAGATGCACTACCGAGAACCGCCCAAAATACTTCAGCACCAACTAATATGTCAATAGCTGACGGACAATAGAAAGAAGGGTCGGCTAACTGTAAATTTGAAGGTATAGGAATGTTGCGAATGTCAATTGAAGCTGGAGGTAACAGTTTTGTAATTTCAGGCAGAATATAGCAGTCAATATTAATTTTAAAATTATCATCAAGTGATATAATAGTAAGATTACAAGATTGTGTACTATTTGATGTTTGGCTATTTATACCTGTTATTGTGGAGTTAATGTTCCGCCGAGGCAATCTCAGCTTGTTACTAAGCGTCTGCGTAATAAAATTGGCTGTGCTACCATTATCGAGTAGGATCCTGGCGTCGAACTTCTCACCGTCATCGCTCACAACCTTCACCATAGCTGTGGACAGTAAAATAGAAGAAGTAGTATTCTGTATGATAGTGTCACAAGATAAAGCGACATTGCCTGTTGGACAATTAGTAGAAGAAATACCGGCAATGTCAATAGGAAGGGCGACACTACTACTACTACTAGGCATAGAATTATTAATAGACGTAGACATGGTCTGGTCATCTACATGCAAGAGAGTATTATGCTTTCCTTTGCAATATTTGCAGCGTGATAATCTACATCTTGATGTGATATGACCTGTGCGTAAACAATTCATACACACATTGAGTTCCTTTGCTTTACAAACTCGTGATTCTATAGATAGATTTCTGAAAGATTCACATGTATATAATAGATGGTGTTTAAAACAAAGGGGGCATTTTAATGGGGTTTTATTGTAAGAAATTTGGTTTGAGTTTTGATTATTGTTATGATTGTTATAATTATTAGTGGCAACTATGAAGCTTTTTTGTTTATTATCTAATTTATGTATTATTTTATGATTTTGATTATTGTTTTCTAATGTTTCTAATAAATCTGCTTTGTTGCTAATGAATTTACAAAATTGTGATAAAGTGGGTGCAGTATCCAATGTATTGCGATACTCCTCCCAGTTCCTACTAGTGATGGGATCTAATTTGCATGACATCATATACACTATAAGCGTATCCCAAGAATCCGTGGGCTCGTTCAATGTTTTTAACGCTCTAATATTTTTATTAATGCTATCTATGAGTGAACGTAACGACAAATGTGATTCTTTTAGCAGCTTATCAACATTGAACAGTGCCTGCACGTGGTTATGCACTAAAAGTCTACTGTTATCATACCGATCACATAGTAAACTCCACGCCATTTGATAATTGTCTCCTTTGAAATCAATATTCTTAATTATTTCTTTTGCGCTTCCTTTTAATGACGCACGAAGGTAGTGGAATTTACTAATGTCATCTATCGCGCTACTATTATGGATAAGCGATAAATATGTCTCTCTATACTCTAGCCAGTAATTATAACTACCGTCATAATGAGGTAAATTGATGGTCGGCATGCGTATAAAGCCATTTTGGAATGATTGACCTGTGTTTTTATTCGAGGAGCCCGCTACAGACCCGCCGTCACCACCGGCGCAGGCAGCATTGCCAGTGCCAAGAAGTAAACGCGCCTGCGCAGCCAATGAGTGATACCGTTCCTCGAACTTGGTTCGCTCTGCATACGCTCCCTCTGGGTTATCCGCAAGTACTTCGATCTCCAACTGTAATTCATCGAATTCACCAAACAATGCATCGAATTTACTTAGACGGCCTTCCAACTCAATGCGTTGGAGGTCCGAAATAGATTCACAGCTGAGAAGTACAGTAATAAAATTACTAAAATTAGTTAATTTAGCTTTCATAGCACTGCGTTTTCTACATAATAAATCTTCGTTATTTGCCATTGCTAAATAAGTTTTAACTTAATATAACGAAAAGATTATAAATTAATATCGAAAAATAAATATAGAAATGAAAAAGAAAAGTTATTTATGTATATAAAATATGTAAAGATGCTATTCAATTATAATAATTGCGTAGTAACACGAGCAAAAGAAATAATTTCTATTGAATAGATAAGCACGACCTTGACCGCGAGTGAAGTTACGGTCAGCTGCAGCGTAGTGCAAAGTCCATGCGGTGCAATAATGCAATCGTTAGCCAAATGTACCTACGAATATTGATGCGAGATTTTATCTATACGCACGCTTAATACAATCGAATATGTATAATATAAAAGTAAGCAAGATGCGTTTAAATATTAAATATGTATATAGGTATTGGCGACTATTGACTTATTTTGAAGTAGTGAAAGAAGGAAAAAAAAAGAATAATTGAAAAATAAGCACCAATTGCACGAAAGTATGCGGAGATTATATAGAAAGGAAATAATTGGAACAGACTCACTAGATGTTGTCCTTATCCACAAGAATTATCCTCAGTATATGTATAGAAGTTTCTCGAAGTGAAGGCAGGATGCATCAATTTGTAATGTTGTCTTGAATTTCTACACCACTGTCTTTTGAAGGCCTCGGGAATAATTATTGATATATTCTTCTCCTTATATAATGCGACTTCGATGCGCCGTAGAAGCGATGACACGTCGTATTCTCGTAGCACTTATTGCAATGCCCAAGTTCAAACTCCAACGAAATTCCAATGGTATTGGTATAATCTTGCGGGTTACTTAAGGCCAGTCTGATGGACCAGTTTGTTGTTGACTCGTAAATAAAATAAGAAGTGGACTGTAGGTTATTATATTTAATACGAGGAGTTATAATATTACAAGGAACATTAGCTAATTAATAAGGTACGCGTGCGGTGACGTCGTAGGCGCAAGGCAAAGTGAAAGATGTCCCGGCCTAGCGGCTGTCAATAGCTCATCTTCGATAGCGCTCGAACAACATATTCTAAAGAATCTATCGAGTACTACAAACATCATGGTGGATACGTGATCCCTGTTTAAGGTTGATTGTTATAACATATTTGAGTATAGGTATATATATGTATATTATAGGCATTGTGTATAAGTGAAGCCTGGTATAGGCAGAATACATATCTAAATTCTACACATGGCTAAGTAACACATAAATCGTTATAAAACTATCGTCCTTTAAACAGCCTTGATCGTTATCCTATCAAGCTTCACTGATACCCCGCCAGTGTACTATTAGTGCAGGCGGTTAAACATCCATACAAAAAAAATATTTGAATGATGTTCCCACAAACAATTACCAGTTTCTATTGATATTTCACTAGGGGAGAGACGATAAAAAAATTAACATGAAACTTAAGGCGGTCGGGTCTCTTTAAGAGATTGGCTTCAAGTAAAAAAAAAGGTTCAGTTAACACTAACCAATTAACCAGGACCTAATTATGGTTCCCAGGTAGAACGGTGTAGTGGTCAACCAAACATAACATATTGCTAGCTATGGAGTTGCTACTAATTACTGATAATTCGCTAGCTCTTGTATATGTAGGTTTATCATTGAATAGAACCAAAAGAATCACATGCAAAATACAAACCACCTCTTGTTATTCTATCACACATCTACACCCGAAGTAACACAGGAACTAAAATCAAATAAATCTTAACAAAACTAACATAATAAACATAACCTGCATTTGTCAAGTCAGTCAAGTGGTTTTCTTAAATACATCAAATTTGATTCAGAATTAACGAACTTATCGCATACAGTATACTTCACAATAAAATAAAATAATTTCCAAGTGAACGCAATTGAAATGTTTGTGTGAAGTTATAAGTAAAATTACTATCTTTTTTCATTATAATTATATTTTTAAGTCATTAAAGTAAAATTAAAACTATATAATTATGGGAATGCTATTTGGGAAGTACGAAGACAATGTAAAATAGTCATCTTTTGACTATCACGACAAGTTTATCATTACACAACAGAAAGGCCATCTCTGTTGCGAGCGCGACTGTTGAATCGGCGTGCATAGAAAGCTATGTAAAGTCATTGACGTATGATGCAGTATACATAACAGTTCTTTTGGATGATAATGGAATAGTCCACCCGCCTGCGCCAACGGTTTACGTTGACGGGGCACCAGTGGAGGATAATAAAATGAGCATGAGGTCAGTTGGTTAGTTAGCCCATCGTGGTAAATTCACCATAATTTATCACAATGGTTTCCAGGAGAAACCACATGGAGGTCAACCTGACATGGTACATTACTAGTAATGGGGTTACCAGTTCATATTACTATTAATTCCCTTCCCCCAATATATAACAATTTACTAGTATTATATTTTATCTACTAAGACATTTGAAATGGATCGTTTTTATTCGACTCTATTCTAAGAATAACAAAAGCGTTCAGAATAGTTAGGTTTGTAAGAACTAAAAGTCTTACGGATTTTAAAATATATTACCCCGTAAGAAGAACTAAAACAATATGATAAAATTTCGTATAATAGCTTAATTTAACTCTTAATTTCGTCATAGTATGTTGACTGTTTTTATATGGCAAAATCTCGTACAATTGTACAAGAATGAGGATATTGTTATACAAAAATCTCGTACTTATATGAGGATACTTGTACTGTTTGCATCCCTGGATATCTCAATAGAGAATGAGAGCGCGCTAATTAAATGTACACGAACGCCGCAAAAATGACAGATTCAAAACATTATTTTATAAACTAAAATAACTATACACATACTATTATAATAAAATAAACATATACATACAAAAAATAAACAGCCCAATTGGGAACTACTCTGTGCCTCGTAGGCAAATGATGAGCAATGTCACCGCAATTGATTAAGATAGTAGCGGCAAGTGTTCTCTATCACCCTATTGCATAATACCTCAATGTGTAAAACGTGTTTCCTACATTCTTCACGTAACAATAACTGTTTGAGTTAGAGGATCGGCACAGATGTCAATGTGTCAATCATAGTAAATCGTAAACCTATTTTATAAGTGTTATGTTGTTAAGTACAGGAAGACACCATAATACACTTATACATAGTCATCTTGATGACATTTTGAGTTGTTCATTGTACATGGTTTGATATCTTTAACACACTTACATGTAGTATTACAAAATATGACTTGTAAAATCATAATGTACTTCTTTTATTATATGAATATGGCATAATACCCCAATATTATAGATACTTATGCTACTGGGGTAACAGAGATAAAAATAAAAGGAGAATGAATAAAATATACGCTGGAAACGAATTCCGATACAATTTCGTCTGCTTAAAATTTCTCCCCCAATGACACTGCCTTCCAGGCTAGATTTTAATATAAATTTAGCCAATTTCCTTCCTCTTATTACTAAGTATATACATATAGAATTTCAATAAGATCATGTCATCATCATCAATGTAACAACAGACGGATAGACAAACACACTTTGGCAATTATAATATTAATATGGACTAAGATTACAAATATAAAAAGTTAGAGACAGTAAGTGAGAGTCATAGCCTATAGAGCCATGTTATTTCACTATGATATCTCAACCTTTAAAACCAAAACAGGTCACAAAGCAAGCTGCTTAGACGCAGAAGCAAGTGAGAAAGGAATTCTTATACAGACGACTTTGTACAAAGTGTACGTCGATGAATATTTAACAAAAGTCAATAATCTTACTAATATTATAAACGTGGATGTTTGTGAGTGTAGATGTATGAATGGTGAAAACTAATGAAAGGATTTTAATGAAACTTTACAATAATATAACTTATACATCAGAATAACTTAGTCTATAAATTTCATGCTATGCACAGACACATGCTATACACTAGTTATAAACGTAGAAGTTTGTGAATTTGGATGTAAGGATGGATGGTTCGTTATTCTTTCACGCCAAAACCACTCAATGTATTTTGTAA